GATGTTACAAATTTGTGAGCCCAAGATGTCCATCAATTTATAATCCGCTTTCAGCCCCCAAAAATCAAAGAAATTTTTTTAGAAAGGTAATCGCTGATGCCAATAAAACAATGTCTTCAGCAGCACGTACTAGTGTGTATGTATACAGGCTAAAATTTGGAATTTTATTGAAACAATAAAATATTCCAATATTTTCAATATATACAAAATAGCATACACTTCTGTCCAAATATGTGCAAAGCAAAACATTCGATTACAATTGTATTTGCAATAATAACGAAATTTGCTCAATTTACTTATTCAAGGAGAATTTACTTCCGTTTGATAGCAAAGCACGGTAGAAAAGAAATAAATGGTAGTCAAAGTATTGTGCGATATGTGACTTTTATTAAACAGCTGATCAAGTGGGCAATATTTGACGGCGTTGTTTTAAGTTGAATGCAAACGACGTAATATCCTCCCGGCATTATGAGTTTTCGAGAGAACGGTGTTTAAGCGCGCAACAATAGCCACGGTAGTTCGAGCTAACAGAAAGTCAGTTTTTGACATGGAGATATTCGATGCTATAATTAAATTATTTATATTATGAAAGCTAAAACTGTGGAGAACTTCCATATGAAAATATAAGCGCCTTGATAACGTTTATATATAGAAATATAAGCGCCCTTATAACGTTATAAGAAAAAAAAGCAAACTGTTTGCTTAATTCATATGAGAGATAAAACCCACCAGTGGTAACCACATATTTATGGTCCTACGACGCCAAATTTGAACAGCGACAAAAACCAAAACAAAAAGGAATTAGAAATTATACAGTCCTCAACCGCCGTCCCCCGTCAAAACATACATAAATAAAAATAAAATTTTTTTTTCAAATATTGAAAAACAATACCGTGTTGAAACAGTGCACAAATACATCTCACACATATTAATTTAACATACAATCAAAAAAAAAATCTACATATATACATATATATATATGACCAAATACATATAAAATCTTGAAAAAGGAAAAAGTGTGGTGAAAGCATACATATACTTAAGTGAGATTGCAACGAATTCGGGATGATAACACAATAAACATACATATGTGCACATACATAAAGAAAATTTTGTGCCACATCAGCTGCAACAAACAGATAATTGGATCTGAAACAGTACAAACAACAACACCCGCACCAAGAATTCGACCTTGACGACACACACATACCCAGGAATAAAGGGAAGTAAGGCCGATAAGTAGTATGTAGGCAAAATTTTTAATTTTCTTTAGAAAGTGTAAATGTACCACTGCAGTAAAGTTTTTGTAAGACGTATTTTCTTTCCCGTCACACTCATAGTTTAACACTCTTTATCATTGCTATTTCTCAGCATTGGTTAGCTGCATTTCTCTTTGGCAGAAAAAACAATAAATCACAGTATTGATACACCAATATATATATATATATACAACTATTCTGATATGAGCTGTACCAAAACAGCTGGTGCATCTTGCTTACACATTTACAACACAAACATACAAAAAGGCGACCGTGCACAAAATAACCCTAAAGATACAAGATCGATTTTCTAATATCTTGCCATTTCGTTATAAAAAAAAAGGTACATATATATATATGTACGATTTTCAAGATAAAACGCCTTTAACTCAAAATTCAGTTCATTTAATTCATTGAGTCTTATATGTACATATATAATCTGTATTACACTTATCACCCTATTTAGTTTACAGAATAGCTGCTCGCTTGAAGGCGGTTTGAAATACCATCATTACTCCTTTCGTATGTCATTTTTTGGTCTTCTGTCAGGTATGATCAGTGCCTTTTGTTCTGTGTGTATACAGTGTGGTGTTTCGTCGTCTCGTTACCCAGCGTCTCTACTGTGGGTGAATGTGTTGTATCGTATGTCATTTTCCACATACATATACATATATAATATTTAATAAATAATAATTTACGTTATATTATTTTCATTATTTATATATATTTCCACACGTATATTTCAATACATGTATATACATAAGTGTAAGTGTGTGGGATTTTTTTTTTATTTGTTTAAATTTATTAAATTTTTTTTTGTTTTACTTTCGGTTTAATACTTTGTTAATTTCAAAACAATAGCTTAACTATTTTACTATTTTCTATAAGTTAAGTTTCCAGTCAATCAGTTTCGACAAANGTAATAGACAACGAAAAATCATTAAGCGCAGCTCCCATAACCTTTATGTTAAAAAACCAGTACGGTATAGAAATTTTTAAAACCTCACCATACAAAAGCTCGGTAAACGGACAAATAGAACGTTTCCACTCAACCCTCTCGGAATTGTTACGTTGTACTAAAGCGGAAAACACACACCGATTTTGAAGACCTCCTAAACAGATCCTTACATATATACAATTATTTCATTCATTCCACAACTAAACGAAAACCCATAGCAGTATTTTCCGGAAGAACGATAGGACCAAACCCAATAGAATTAGACAGACAGGAAAATATACAAAACTTAAAAAATAAACAAGAAAAAGATCTAGTACTTCATAACAAAAACAGACAAGACTTTAAGACATTCCAAACCGATGACGTAATTTACGTAAAGACTAACAGACGATTAGGAAATAAATTATCACCCCGCTACAGAAAGGAAATAGTTAAAGAAGATAGGCAATACAGTAATAACAATATCAGGACGAACAATTCATAAAAGCCATATTAAACAGTAAATTTAACACATGTCCATTTACAGGATTTTGCTTGCCTTGTGCAATGCAGAAACGCAAATTTTCGATTATACGACCAGTCCCATAGTAACAATAGACATAGGAACCGCAAAGGTTCAAACCGGAATATTTCGACTAATACACACTATAGACCTCGACCAGTATGACTCCCTACTCGACAATATACATGCTACAATAGAACACGACATAACTAGGAAAAGACGAAGTTACCAATACCTTTCCCAAGAAGAAAAATTCACCCGATTCATCCTAAACCACCTGAAACCCAGAAAAACCAAAAGAGCAATTGAATCACTCGGCACAGCCTGGAAATGGCTCGCTGGATCACCTGACCATGAAGATTTTAAAATACTAAACGATGAAATCAATAATATAATAAGTAATAATAACCAGCAAGTAGTAATAAATAAATCTATTTTCGAAAGAATTAATAATTTAACTCACATTTCAAATGTAATATTAAGCGAAATGAAATCAAGCAATGATATTAAATTAGAAACAGAAAACAATATTGAAAGGAAATTAAAAATTATTAAAGAAGAATTAGTAAATATCGATTATTCAATACAATGGGCAAAAGCCGGAATTATAAATTCTTTTGTATTATCTAACGAAGGATTGATTGTAATTGAAGAAACACTAGAAAAGCAAAATATACCCTATTTAAATTTATTCGAAGCAATTGAATTTAACGATGTTAAAATTGCATCGAATTTATCTACCATTATTTATATTGTAAAATTTCCTCTGACAAACAAAGAATCTTGCAAATTAAAAAAGGCCAAAGCTGTAAAACAAGGCCATAAAGTAATTAAATTCGAATACGAAAACTTAATAACTTGTAACAATGAAATATTTAGTGTAAAAGATAGTTGTAAGAATATAAATAATCTAATTTTATGTAAGCAATATAGTATAAAAGAGGTCACGTTTACAAGTTGCATACCAAACATTTTGAAAGGATATTCGTCCAACTGCACCTTAATAAACAGCCACCATATGCCCACAATAGAAGAAATAATGCCTGGATTATTATTTATCAATGGTTACAATGGACCCATAAAAATGGAGAACAAGGAAGTCAAATTGAATGGCACATTTTTGATCAGGTACGATAATTCAAGCGTATCAATCGAAGACAAACATTTTGTTAGCAAAAATCAAATCTTTGCAAAGCCCTTGCCAGCAATCATTAAATCGACTAAAGTTCTCTCTTGGAAGTTCTCTCTTTGCAATACCTGAAAGAGCTTAATGTTGCAAACATCAGAGAAATCAATGCCATAAGCACGAAGCATAAAATCAACGTTTTTACCGAATCCATCATAATTATATTCCTATTAGCAATGGTCCTAACAATGACAATAAAAAGGATAATTGAAAATCGAAAAGGAAAAATCCACATCCAAGTTGAAACGAAAAGCTTACAAAATAACTCTCCAGTACCAATGGAAACATCACCTCCAGCAATTGTCCATATTTCAGAGACATCCATCGAGGACGATGCATGTTTTAAGAGGGGAGGAGTTAACACGGTATACGCCGAAATACCATTCCCACGATCTACTTGAGCTTACGCAACAACACAACTTCCGCCGTGGACAATATCCCACAGGCAAACGACACCACACGCGCGATTGCCAAAATGCTGACTCCACATGAGAACGTTTGACCAGCCAGCCCACAACAACAACGATATGCAAGTGCACCTGTTTTGTAACGTGACTTATTAGCATAAATTAGCTGTAAGACTAAAATGTAGTTTCAGTTCTATTTTGATCTTGTAAAATAAAGTGAGCTCAATCGTTCTTCAAAAAACAAAACTTGTTTTTTTTTTTTAAATCTATTAATGC